GGTTAAACAAGCTTGTGGTTGTTTTCTGTGTGCATGGACGTTTCATGTTCGTAGACTTGGTGGCTCATACACTGCGGAGATTTGAAGATTCCAGTGCTAACTTCTTTTCTTAATTGGTTTTTTAAAAATTTATGTCAGGAGTTTAATCTGAAATTTTATATAAAATTGATTTTTGAATGTTCCTTTTTACCTGAAGAAACTGATACAGTCATTAAAACAACTTAACAGTTCAGTTTTGAGCGTCTATTCTTACATCCACGCATAACTAACAGCCTTGATATTTTCAAAAAATTTGCTTGACAGGAAGAAGAATTGTTTGACATTGACATCCCGTTGAATTTTATAGCTTCTGTGGGCACCAGAGTCCATGGGTTGGCTTGTTGGTTTGACGTGGTGTTCAATGGGAGGTAATAGTTTGATGCTATGTGAGTTGTGTTTGTCACAGTTTTTCATCTCAAGTCGTGTTTACTAATGTTTCTTATCTACATCAAATTCCTTCACGACAGCACTGTACAAAGATGGCTTACTACTGCTCCTGGTGCGCCTACTACACACTGGCACCAGCTGCGCTGTGTCTTGTCCCAACCAATTTATGTGACGACTGGACAAGAGATAACTGGTCAACTCCATATGGTATCCCATAAAGCTCAGAGTTACACACTTTACCTAACATTATCAGGTTAGTTTTATTAGTTCTCGCACAAGTTGTGCAGCAAATCTTTGTTCCTGTAGTTCCTTTCCTTTCGATTTATTATTTTGTTTCGTCAATCCACTAATTAGTCATTTATCCAAATAGCTAAAAATTGGGGCCCTTGTACCGAACAAGGAGGAATCCTCCAGACTTCATCTGGCAAGTTCGATCTCAAAGAGCCCTACTACCGGATGTCTCAACTGCAGGCCTCTCCGTTGGCCCAAGATCAACAACCCAATCAACTAATGCAAACACAGGTACTGGATTATGTGGGATGATTTGATTCGAGTTTCAATATTTTCTTTTGGGAGAAATATAGTATGCCAGAGTGAGGTTTCATTGTTTACCTGGCATTATAGTCTTTAATTGGTTGATTAGTTCTAGAATAATTTATTTGAGCAACTAATTTTCCATCTTCATACAGAACTAAATGGTCCCACAACACATATTCAATTTCAGTATTATTTAGATCTATGATAATGACTCCAAGTTAAAGCCAAAACATTTCTTCATTACTCGTTTGAATATATGATGTCAGATTGTAACATTATTAGTCCATGTTTGGCCCCCATCTCTTAAAACTCATTTTTAACCACACATTTCATCTTCTGTCAAAATTTACTAAAAATCTAATTTTTAGCAAAATCAAATGGGCATGAATTGAATAAGTCTGTCCTCGAACAAGTGTCACCTGTCAAACTATATTTCGTACAACATTTCCAACATCATCTTGTTCGCCATGCATTAAAGTTATGAGTAAAACTTGCGCTTATAGACAGCCTAGAGTTTTATCACTTTTGCAAGACAATTGCACAAGAAAAGGAGGAATTAACTAGTGATTGTTGGTATTAGGTATTTGGTTCTACCCAATATGAAGGGGAGAATTACCAACTCATAACAATTTATCTCGTTTACTTCTGTTAATTTTAGCTTAATTTTCTTCTGCTGCTGCAAGATGAGGATAATTGACATGTATTTGCATTACAGGATATACAGATACAGTCCCAAGATGAAGAGGGGTCAGATTTGATGTAATAAAAACATGATTTATTCGACAATAAAATTGTCAAAGATAATTTGAACGGGAATGCCTGGCAAAGTCGAGTATTATCCATGCTGCAGATCAATAATGGTTTGAGTCAAAATCAAATTTTTAGTATTTATGTTTTTACCTCATTATCAGGAAAGGAACATGTGCATGCTAGGTTGGAAAAATACGTACACCTGTATCATATGGAGTGAAGTTCAAAAATGCTGAGAGGAATCCTGTTGGTCTGTTGTATTTTGTTAACTCTGAATGTTGAATCATGTGATTATAGTTGAATGTTTCGTTCGGCGAAATGGATTATGCTATATAATGAATTTAGTTGTGCTAAATAAGTTTATTTTAAGAATGTATGATAGTAAGTAGATTGTATCAATCATGTAGAATTACTCTTATACCTATAAAACGTTGTTCCAAAAGTTCTGAAAGATATTTTTGTGGTGGCCAATTTCTTCAAGTTGATTGAATTTATAGTTCTACTGAAAGTAGTCATTTTCAAGTAGGTTAATTTGCAATTATTTTTTTTAAATGGGAGCTCTAGACTCAATTCTATGTCTAAACATTTCATGTGGTAACTATCATAGGTACTCAAAGATATTGTATCTGAAGGGGTGAATAGATAGATAGGACTACTCGTTGCTTGATTGGGACTTTAGATTTATTGCAAGTTAAAAAATACGTGATATTTTCAATCTCTTCAAGTTAGAAATCCACTTCTATGTAAAATGACGTCTACGGTGGCCAATCTCTTCAAGTTGATTGAGTTTATAGTTATACTGAAAGTAAGTTAAAATCACTTCTATGTAACATGACGTCTATGGTGGCCAATCTCTTCAAGTTGATTGAGTTTATAGTTCTATTGAAAGTAGTCATTTTTAAGTTGGTCAATTTGCAATTTTTTTTTTCTAATGGGAGCTCTCTCATTAAATATAACCACCACTTTTCATTCACACACACTCAATTCTATGTCTAAACATTTCGTGTGGTAACTATCATAGGTATTCAAAGATATTGTATCTGAAGGGGTGAATAGATAGATATGACTACTCATTGCTTGATTGAGACTTTAAATTTATTGCAAGTTAAAAACTACAACATGACATTTTATTTGCATTTATCATACCTTAATGTCTATCTCTTTCACAGAGTAGATAGAACTCAATCTTAAAATTAGCTTGTAAAGAAATGGTGCTCAAAGTGATTACAAGTCCACAAAGAAAGCATTTCACAATCAATATAAAATGCAATCAGATACTATATGGTTGCTCAAAAATTATACATTTAGATTGCCCCATTTTTTAAATAGATGTAAATCCTTCTAATTTCCATGAGGAGACCATAAGAAAAGCCGACAAGAAAAAACCTTTGAAGTTTGATAAAGGAAGTTCACGGGTGTCGGCTTGCCTTTGATTTCACTACTAAAACTACTATATTTTATGTGTTAAGTTTTGTACGAAAAGGCCCCCAACATATTTGTTTATATATACATTGGCATTGAAAGTCATGTTTTACCGAACTTATCGAACTTGTAAAAATCATCCCCCAAAAATTATACATTTATTTTCTTTTAAAGTATATTTCTTTTCTTGGGTGGGAAATGAGTAACTTTGTCAAAAAGGGCTGTTTTAAAGTAAGAATCTGCCGTGGTTCAATCAATTAACTCATCACTGGCTAATTTTCAAGTATATAAATAAGAATACAATCATACTAAAATGTTATAAGTTTTGACATAATATCACATGACATTTCGTCATTGGACTGTTTTAAACACGATCAACCTATCCATCAAATCATCTGCTACCACATCAGATCATGTCACTGCATTTGTTACATTTCTTCTGACAACATTAATTTGTTTATGAAGTATGCCCCACCCAAAGATTAAATTTGGGTAAATCGTACATGTTAAAATATAGAAACAAAACTTGAAACGGGACGAGTTTTTAAAGTTAGTTGACCCTTGTAAATCCCTCACCCCTGCCATTAGTACTCTCTCTTTTTCACCTCTATTGGGTTGGCGTATACGGAACGTATAGGGTCCCGTTCATCTCACCTTTTGCTACTTGTTTAACCTATATTAATAAAGAGAGTGAAATAATATGCTTCTAAACATTTATAAAAAAGTTGTGGAATCCATGAAATGATAGGTGAAAAAGTAAATAAAAGACGTGAATTCAACGAAATGCATAATTAAAAATAAAATTTGAATAATTTTTTAGCGAACAAAAGCTTTACCAAACAAGCATAAAGAATATTTTTGTTTTGCAATGAAACAACGTTAATAAACTCGTATTGATTACGTTTCTTTTTTTAATACAGTTATTTTCACCTACAATATCATATGCTTATTTCTCGTCCTTTCAATTTGAAGATGCTTTATGAGTTCTTAAGACTAATTTAGTGAGCAAATTAATAGTTTGTTATATACTTAAACACGTAAGGAACTTACTGAGAAAATTATTTTAAACCAACTTTCTATAAAATCTTTTCAAGTCAGACAAAAAATTAACCAAACATGTCCTAAAACATATTTTTAGTATTAAAAGTAACTTTTAATTTTTCAATAACTCTTAAAAGTGGGTCCTTAGCATTAATAGTTATGAAAATTTGGAGACCAGATAATATGAGATGATGTTATGCCCTTGTTTGAGACTCATTTTTTGTAAAATGATTTTTTAATAGTGTTTTTTTAAGAATGTGTGATTAAAAAATAAACAAAAGTTTTAGGTTTACGTGTAAAAAAATTTATTGGAAAAATGTTTGGTTGAAAATAAATTTGGGAAAAAATAAATTCTTGAATAATAGTTCTCAAACAGGGACTAACAAAAAAGTTAGAATATTATCCAGTCATCTTAGGAGCTACTCCATAGGAGACATGCTTTTAAAGTATATACACAAAATAAACAAGCCTTGTATGTAATATTAAACAAACGTTCGTATGTTACATCAGTATCCTAACAATCATGCTACATGAACATCAAATTTGATATAAAGTTTGATATAATACCACATGACATTTTATCATTGGACGTTTTCAAACACAGTCAACTTTTTCATCCAATCATCTTTTGCCATATGTAATATGTCAAGCTTTCGGTCAAATACTTATAGTAAAGTAGCTTTATCCACGTCCTAAAATACAAGCCCAAACCCACGTCCACAATAGCAATAGATGACAGCAAACATGCAAGTTTCCAAACGAAATCTAAACTTCAACCGAACAGAATTAGCAGCACACTTATTACGACTCTCGACGACAATACGTTAAGCATCTCTAACTTCAAACTCATTACGATTCTTGACGACAATATCGTACATGTGCATGGATTTGAACTTGCTGAAACTCTTGGGTAGAGAGATGAGATGAACCGTAGACCTCTTATGGAACTGATGTAATTCTGGGTCATCATAGTATCTCTCCCACCCGAGCGATGATAATATCCTTCCGAGGACAGAATATGATGTAATAACTTCATTAGAGGTGAGATGGACTAGAACTTTCCGTCGAGCATTCGAGCCATGGCTCTCACCGGGGTTTTGGACGAGTCGAAGAACACCATTCTTGAACTCCCAAACACCAGACATTATCAATATTGTTGGGTTTAAGAGAAATGAAGAAAGAATAAGAATCAAGTGAATGGCTGGTCTGTTGCTCAAAGATGAATGGATACTCACACATATATATAGAGGAGCTATGGAATTCATCAGTATAAAGTTTGGTAGCAAGCCATATGTGATTAATTAATTATTCCCTTTTTGAATAAAAATTTTGCTGGTTCCAAGAATAGCATAATACATATATAATATTCTTTCTGCATGGCCTACTGATAAACTTGGGTTGTCTTTTGTATGTTGTTGAACCCTAATGAATAAAGACATTGTAATTGATCCCACATAATTCCATATACCCTTTCCCTTTTTTGTCATAATCAGAACCTTCTCTTAATTAAAATTCATGTAACATGCTCATTATTTTTTGAGATAGTTTTGTTAATTAAGCATATATTCTAGTTCATTTAAGAAACCTATTTCATTTTTGTATATACCTAGGCTAGAATATGAGGTTGCATCATTTTATTATATATTTCCCATTTAGGAAGTTTATTTTAAGTGAGTGACACTACACGAAAAATGAGCATCAATGATGGAAAATTCTATCGTTGATAGTCCTTTCGTCACTATTAACGTCTTTTCTACTCGTGTGGTGAGTAAAGCATCAAATTAGAAATCCACCAAAAGAAGATTCAATTTATGATGGATAATTAATCCATACATAAATCAAACAATTAATAAGTGGACTATTTTCCAATGGAAAATGGCATGCAAACTAAACATGAAATACAAATATTGGAGAACTCTCTTGCTCCATACTTCATGGATAGGATAAGATGAATCAATTTTAACATTTATTCATCCACTTTTATTCTTTCTTTTATTTTTTCTTTTTTTCTTTTTAGCTTATGGGCGAGGAAGATAGGGAAGTATCACTATAGCCCATTCAAGAAAGAAATGGCCTTCTAGACCTTTTTCTAATGGTTTATTTTTTCAGTGAAAGAATTCAACACGTGCTGATGATCCTCTTATCCACACAACTCAACACGTGCTGATAAGCCTCTTATCTACAACATATTTTTTGGATTTTCCTATGTATATTTTTTATACAACAATACAACGCATAAAGTTTACCTAGACAGTACTTAGACATGATTCCATAACTTTGGAGTTTACAATACAATTATTTTCAAGTCAGCTACATAAAACTATTTTCATCATTAATTCATACAGCTCCTCTCTAGATAAAATGGATTCAGTAACTTTATAAAATTATTATTGAATATGTTACTCCTTTACGTTAAAATTCTTACATCTACATCACATTACAACGAAGGGGGCCGACTTACTCACTTGGTATTTTTTAAAGAGATTAAATTTGATAGCATTGTTGATCGCCTTAATCTAGAAAGAAATGTGTCCTCATTCAATTGATATGGTAGTCAAATGTAAAATGCTTCAAAAGAGAACTTCATAATTGTATGGATATAAAGTACAAGGGATATGAGTCTCCAAAAGTGCATGGACAATTGCCTTTATTAAATACATTTAGGGTCCGTTTGATCGTAAGAGTAGAATTTGGGTAGAAAGAAAATGAATTCCAGGGAATTGAATTGCCCAGAATTGCTTTCTTGTAAATTGTCAATTAATTGTGCTTGATTGGTATAATTTTTCACGTGGAATATATTTAAATTTTGTATCTTTTGGTGTTCGTTTGACTTTTTTTTTTTAATGAAAATTGTCTATTAAAGAGAATTTTTTTGCTGATAATTATTATTACTTCTTTAATCTTGAGTCTCGTATGCATCTACAAGCATGTTTGGGTGAGCTAAAAAAAAAATTCTACTTCTAAGTTCATTAATAAGTAAACAAGTTTAATAACAAAGATGCTAAATTCAATGCACACAAAAAAAGGAATAAAGTTAGACCCCCAAATCTTATCTTATTTTTAAGTTTGTTAATGATGCATTAATCTTGTCATTATCCAAGGATTAAGAAATTAATGTTATCGAGAAAACATATTCTCATTAATCTTAATTTGTTTCTCAAACAGAACTGATTCTTCAGTCCAAAGTTTATGGCTTTATTCCCGGACTCCAAGAAATTTATTAACATTATTGATTTGAACACATTATACACCTCGAGCACAAGGACTTCCAGGGGTCCCCTTTTTCAGTTACAGGACCCAAGTTCTGGGGCCTTGATTGTCCTCGGGATACTTCGAGGATTGACCATCCAGGATGCCTCCAGAATCACATTAGTAGTCCTCGGGGGTAGGTGCTCTGGATTTTGCCTTTGCCAAATTATCAAACTGCTCCATGATCGAGTGTTACTAGTCCTCATCTCGAAAGAGCATTAACCCTATCCAATTGCCATAAATTAAGAACTCTGGGTCTATAAGGATTCTATCTTGGAACACATGGTAAGTTAAGACTTCTAGTTTTAATCCAACATTAATCTTTCCATAAGACGTTCCTAAAAATAAGATGACGAGTCCTACTAGAAGTCCACTATTACCTATCTCTATAAATATGGAACCTGGGATCATTATTCAGGTACGTTTTTCATATATTTTCTCTCTATTCTCTCTCTGGCTTAAGCATCGGAGGGGCGACGATGACACACATCGACGCCTTTGTTTCAAGTACCGGAAGATCACGATCGTGCTCATTCTCAGTCGTCTAACTCGAAATTCACCATGTGCAATTTTTGGTAGCATCATTGGCGCCGTCTATGAGAAGTGCTACCAAAAGCCATGGTCAACACACGTTTAGGTCTTCCTCCAGCAAGTTTATCTGCACCAAACGCACTACTTGTTATGGAGCCTCCAGTCGATCAAGAAGAGTCATCAGCAATACTAGATCCTCAACCGGTAGTAGTTACTGTTGGAGCATTCGAAGAACTCCGTCAGCAAGTTGCAATGCTGACTCAACTGCTAAGCCAAAGAAATACTCCTCCGGCTCCAGCACCAACTCAAGAACCAACCTCGGCTCAACCAGGTGATTTTATAGCTGATGCTCGAGCACGGGATACCTGCAACGCCCATGAAAATGGTGGATCTGGGATCTTGGGCATAACCCCAGTGGCCTCGGCCTCGAGATTGGTTACCGTAGACTCAGGAGAACTCGCTCGGATTATATGAGATGGGATTACGACGGACTACAACAGAATACCTAGGGAACGACATGGTTTACCTTGAATACACCGTTCACGACAGAGGTTCTCTCTTACCTACTCCCGGACAGGTTCAAATTCCCACGCATAAAGGAGTATGATGGGACCACTGACCCCATCGACCACCTTAATGTACACAGATGTCATGAACCTACAAGTTGCACTGGATCTAGTGATGTGCAAAGCCTTTCCTCAAACTTTGACCAATGCCGCCAAGGATTGGTTTGCCATGCTTGAGTTTAATTCTATAGCATCATTATCAAATCTTGCCAATAAGTTCTTCGCCTTCTTCGTAAGGAGCAAGCGCATCAGAAAGACAGCAGCCACCCTCATGCAGCTCCGCCAAGGCCCGAATGAGACCTTACGTAACTTCATGATGAGATTCAACAAAGAAATGTTACAGATACCCGATCTTCACATTACAGCGGATGTCTCAGTTCTAACATATGCTGTGAGGTGTGAAGCCTTTATGATGTCCTTATCTAAGATACTACCAAAGACAGTGACCGAACTCCTCACCCGAGGAGAGAAGTACATCAACATAGAGGAAACAATGAAATTTAGCCCGAGCTCTGAGAGGCCCCAACTTAAGAGGGCGCAAAAGCCGAACTTACGACAAGATCATGCTCGAGGAAAGCAGAAGCAGGGTGTACCACCTAGGCCATTCACATGTTTGAGCCATGACCAACATATTGATAGAGGTCAAAGATATGAAATAACTTAAATGGCCTTTAAGGTTGCGATCTCTCTCGGATACCAGGGACAAGAGAAAATATTGTGACTACCACAGGGATCATGGGCAGAAAAAGGAGTGCATAACATTACAACAGGAGATTGAGGTACTGATTAAAAGATGATTCTTGAAGACATGATAAACGTCCTAGGAATTATCACAACAAAGTGAGGACCCTAGAATGTAGGACGTAACAAAACCACGGCTGGTACAATCAACATCATAGTTGGAGGGATAGTGTCTACCTTCCACCTTGCTATGAAGTTTCCAACCAGTCATGGCATTGGAGTTGTGTGTGGGGATCAGACAGCAACGAGGATACGTTATGTTACTAGCGTCGAGGTTTAAGTGCTAACGTCATGCAATTAGCCACACCGGAGCCTGAGCTTGAGCGCTAGGAGAGACTTGCTCCAATTGTGGGAGAGATCGAGCTCGAGCATGGAAAAAAAGTGACCATTGGCCAGAATCTTGACCTCACCCTTAAGGATGAACTCATCAAGTGCCTATCCCACAACATTGACGTATTCGCATGGAAGGTTGAAGACATGCCGATGATAGACCCCAGTATAGTGGTTCATAAAATGAACATAAGACTATATTCTAAGCCAGTAAAGCAAAGAAGAGGCAATTCGCGCTAGAAAGATGGGAGATAATATGTGAGGAGGTCAATAAACTCGTCAATGCTCAATTCATTAGGAAGGTTCAATATCCAGATTGGCTTGCCAACGTTGTCCTTGTCAAGAAGGCTAATGGCAAGTGGAGGGTATGCATTGACTTCACATATCTTAACAATGCATGTCCAAAAGATAGTTACCCTACCTCGGATTGATAATCTGGTGGACAATACCACGGGCTACAAGTTGTCCATCTTTCTTGATGCATTCTCAGGCTATCACTAGATCTTTATGGATGAAAAAGATCAGGAGAAGACTACTTTCATAGCTGACTCTGCCATATATTGCTTCAAGGTCATGTATCGGTTTGAAAAATGTAGGGGTATCATATCAAATGCTCATCAACAAAATCTTCGCTAATTTGATTGGGAAAAACATTGAGGCATACATCAACGACATGGTGGTTAAGATTAAATAGGTGAATGAGCATATTGCCGACCTAGATGAGGTAC